AAAAAAAAAATGTTGTGAAGTTACATGGATAACTTAAACCAATGTTTGATGAAGTCTTCAAATGTAACAGGATATATTTTATCTGGATCATCACTCACTACAACTTGGAAGTTTAAGAATGACGTGAATCCTCACTAGTGCCGAAGATTTGCTTTGGCTATAGAGAGTATTTGAAGAACTCTAATGGCTTTTGTTATTTAAAATAAAATACTTTCTTGTTTAAATTTTTTCCACCATTGAGAGATGATAAAATCTGCCCTCTGTTTGTAATTGGGAAATAAAAAGAAGATCCATTATGGAATAGATTTGTTTGTCCTTTGCTATATTGAGACACTGGTTGTGGCTCTAAGGAGAATAATGAGAAATAGAAAACAAGCAAATATGAGCTTATGATTTCGGTACTCATGATGTGTCTGTGATAATTGGTTTCCATGATATAGAGTTTGCAGTATGGTTGGAAGTGTTCTGCTGAGGTGAGAGCTCAATTGAACGAGGTAAGGTTTTCCCAGTGGTTTTCATTTGAGGAACTTTTTTCAAATTTTCGTTCCTTTGTGGAAACGTTTTTGGAGCCATCTGTTGCCTTCAAGGTTGCTGTGGGTGGATCTGCAAATGCTGCGGCCACCACACCTGTTAAATCAGAGATTTCATCTGCAGCCAAGGATGTCAAGAACTCAGTTGAGTCTCCACCTCCCACTTTGGCCTCAGAAGAATCATTATCTGAGTTTTTTACTCAAGTAGCCAGTCTTGTCAAGTAAGCATTCAGTATTCTTATGATTCCCTCTTTCCATTTTTGTCCTGAACGAGTGAGCTCATGTATTCAGCTGTCTTACAGGTTAGTTGATTCTAAGGATATTGTGGAACTGCAGTTAAAGCAACTTGACAGTGAAGTTTTAATACGTAAAAAGGAGGCTTTTCCTCCTCCACCTTCTGCTCCTGTAACAATGGTGAATTCACATGCTCAACCTGCGAAACTGCCTCCAGTCCTGGCACCTTCTCCATTGCTGACTCACACACCATCTGCTGCACCAACCCCAGCACCTTCTCCCAAAACTCAAACATCTGAGTCATCTCTTCCACCACTTAAATGCCCCATGGCGGGTACATTTTACCGAAGTCCAGGACCTGGTGAACCACCATTTGTGAAGGTGAGTGCATAAATGCAATAATAGAAAATACAGAAAGCAGGAATGTATGTCTTTTAGAATAGATGCATAATTTGTTACAAAGCGTGAGGACTGCTTTACCCTCTGACATTATGCATTCTCGTTTTCTTTTATGAATTTTTAATCAAAAACTACCAGAAAATGAGATGTTATGGTAACAGAGCACAGAATAGCTGGCAACATGGCACAACACATTGTGATATTGTGTGCGTGTGAGTGTGCATATTTCATTGGCTTACGATATGAATTTTCTTGCAGGTTGGAGACAAAGTACAGAGGGGGCAGGTTCTGTGCATCATTGAGGCAATGAAGTTGATGAATGAAATAGAGGCAAGTACATTATCTTTTCTATCTGCTGCTGTTTCCAGATACTGCCAATGTGGCTTTAGTTGCTTTACTATTTCTTGTTTAATTAGGCCAATAATTTTTTTAATAATTTAATGGTATGTTTAATTATTAGGCCAATAAAGTTAATTACTTGTTGCTTACTCAAGCGTTAGTTCTGCTTAATGCTTAGGCTGTGAAATTTTATATTGCTATTTTACGCACTATATCAATGATATCTTCAATTCATGCGCTCCACAGTCCAGTCTGATCTCTGAAATAACACGTCCAATTTCACTGTCTGACAACTGTTTTGAGAATATTGTTCGAGTA